CCTATTGTAGGACCTAGCCGTCGGAATTCATTCCTACAGTAGCTACTTATTGGACACCTCTCCCTGTAGGCCCTAGATGCCTAAAACTTCCTCTCCATACAGGAACAAGCCGTTTGAACTCCTTCCTGTAAAAACTAACCATCGGAACTTTCTCCCTACAGGTCCCTAGCAGCCGGAAATCCTCTCTGCCAACTGGAAAACTTCATGTAGGCCACAAATTCCTGCGGGTTTTCCTAGTGAAAACATTTTATTGCAATATTTCTGCAGCATCCGGATCTCTGTCTTGTCGACGTTGAAGTTTATGTTCTTAAAATAAGAGTTATTGAGTTTGTGCCCCCTCTACCACCAGAGAAATATGAAGCAATTAAAAGATTAGGTTTCAAGCAACTGAACAAGGTGGCAATATTGTTTCCCTATGATTTCTTAGGTGGCTTAGTTGATACCATCGGGCGTTTTACAGGAGATTTCAATCAAAGAGGAAATTTTTTTCTCTTTTAGAAGTATTCTTCTGTCACTGGTGGATAACCTCTGGTTGCTCTTGTTGCAGGAGAATCAACCATTACTTTTGAGAAGGCTCCTTCCGCGGAACCAGTTGAAAGGGCCCTCGGTAATCTTCATCATATTATTTGCTCCGAAGGAAATCCATTTTCCTGATCCATGTCATGTAGTTTGCACATGTTGGGGAGTAGAAAAGTTCACATATGGATCATACTCTTATGTGGTTGTTGAATCTTCTGGCGATGATTATGATATTTTGGCAGAAAGCATGGTAATAGAAGGATGTTCTTTGTTGGAGAGACAACAAACATGAGATATCCTACTACAATGCATGGCGCTCTCCACAATGGTTTCAGAGAGGCGGCTAACATATTCAGGGCAGCTGGGAGGTCTAAGGTGCAGATGGTGGAATAAACAGATGCGAATGAGGCCTTAGATTTGGATAATTTGTTCAAGTTTGCTGACCTATCTTTTGGTTATTATTCAGCTCTCTAAGATCCAACTGTAGGGAATCCCTTTGTTATTATCATTAGTGTCGGTTTAGCAGGGCTCGATGTTGTCATCCACCTAATTTTACCAGGTTTCAAGGTTATCGTTCTCGAAGGCTTTCTAGGCCCCAACAGTCGTGTCCTTACCAGAAGATTGAAGGGTGTTGGTGTCGTCGACACTGTTGACCTTGGAGGTAGTGTTCTCACTGACATCAAAGAAAATCCCCTCAAAGTGCTTGCGCACCAACTTGGCCTCCCACTGCACAAGGTCTGCAATAAGTGCCCGATTTACCTCCCAGACGTTCAGCTTGTTGATCACGCAATTGATTCAAGCATCGAGGCTGCATTTAATCAACTGCTTGAGAGGGTTTGCAAGCTCCGACAAGGTATCATGGACGAGTTAAGCTTTGTTAATATCTCTCTTGGTGAAGCTCTCAAAGCCTTCTGCCGGGTGGACGACGTCGTTGAGCCTGTGAAGGAGCGAATGCTTTTGCATTGGCATCTTGCAAACATTGAGTACACCAATGCTACTCATCTCTCCGACCTTTCCTTGGTCTAGTAGGACCAAAATGACCCTCATGAGATGAGCGGTGATGACTTTTTATTCCTGGTGGCAACATACAATTTATACGATCTCTCACACATGGAATTCCAATATTCTACCAAAAAATGGTGAACAAGATTCAATATAAAAGTGATGGAGTCATGGTTTATGTTGATGGGCAGACCTTTCGTGGTGGCAAGGCCTTCTGCACTGATGTTCTTCCTTTTACTCACCGTCCATACCTAAAAACTTTCCATGCAAGTGTTCTTTATTATTTCCTACAAACCATAACCTGCAAATCTTCTTCCTTTTTACCTGTAGGACCATACCCTACAGCTTTACCTGCACGTGTTTTTTTCTTCCTGCACACCATACCGTGCAGGTGTTCTTCCTTTTTATCATACACTGTAGTTTTCCCTGCATGTTTTTTTTCCTGCAGACCATACCATGTAGCTTTTCTGTAGGTTGTCTACTTTCCTGCAAATTTCACTGCAACAATACTTATAGAAGCCTTCAACCTACCTACACACTGCAAAAACTACAGTTAAAAACAACTGCATTCAAATAGAAGTCAGTATTTTCAGTAAGTTATATGTTTCACGGTAAAATTCTCTACAACATTACATGTAGGAGGAGTCTTTTGCCTACCTACAAACACTTTAGAAACTGCAGTCAAAGACAACCTTTATCAACTAAAAATATCCCAAAAAAGACAACCTCTAAAAATATCCCAAAAAGCTCTTGGGGTTGATTACCAAGTACGGAATGAAGACTTCAAGTTCCATGTTGAAAGAATCTTCATTTCCTATTGTTTGATATTATCAAATCCAAGTTAAAAATAATTGTCAACCATTTTTCAACTTGAGGGGGAGTGTTAGAAGTTATATTAAGAAATAACTTATCTATGTTAAAAGTTGAGGATTAGATTTATTTCCTTTCTTATTTTAAGCGTTCTTATTTTATGTTGTTTCATTTATCTCAAAGTAATAATTAGAAATTGATTAATAGGAGATATAAGTGTTATATCTTTCCTTTCCTATTATTTCCTTTATTTTTTCAATTCTAGGATTTACGTAAGGTGTATTTATGCCCCTTTCATATCAATAAAATAATTACGCTAAATCCTGAAAATCAACAATATTTACTACTCACCCACCTTCTACAGTTATATCAATAAGTAGATTCTAGATACCAGGGTTGGCAATCAAATAGTAGTTAGAAAAAGCTACATTTTTGTTCAATTTTGTGAGCATTAGGAGTCTCTTTGAGTTTGACAGCAAATGACTTGAATCTAGCTCAAACTCTAAATATTTGCAATTAGCTAAACATAAACCCTAATCAAAATCAAAGTAAATCTTGAGCCAAGCCAGCTTGTTTCAATAGGATTTAATTTTAGGCAAACTTGAAATCCAAATTTTTCAAAACAGAAAATATTTAATGTTTTAAACGTCACAAACTTGGAACTTCTTTCAACTAAATCAAGAACAAGCGAGCACGCAAAGCAAATTTTTGTCTAAAATTAACATAGCAGAAATATTTATTTTTCAAGTGAGCCAAAAAGGCCAAAAACAAATTGATATTGCACGAGTTCAGATTAAGGCACTCATGGCTACAGCTATTATGGAATAATTCCAAACTAACAAATGATACTGGTGAGTTCTAAGTTCAGAGCAAAATAACAAGCCGAGTAACCTTGCAAGGGTTTGATATGGTAATTAACAAATAGAGCACCGCAACAAAGCACAAATGCAGTTTGAAATCATTGAACAGAAGATCAAACAAAAAATTATGATCATATTTATAAAAAAGAAAATTTGGAGCTTTGGATGGTAAAGTTAGAGATCAGTAGATATAATTAACAAGGGATTTAATACCGGAATTAACCAACAAACAGATAGGAAAGCCAATTTTATTATGCCAAAACAATGAGGTTAAAATCAGGACTCAAAACAGGAAAGAAAATACAACACAACACAGCTCTCCCGCTAGCGCAAGTAGGTACAGCCGTTGGACTTGGGTGAGAGGGCTGGAAGAGTTGGAGTCTGGCAGGGCGTAGGTGGATTTGTGGTCCAGCAGGAAGAAAGCCCAGGGGGTGGCGGTTGCACAGCTGGTAGTAGGATGAGGAGCAGCAGCAGGTGGTGATGTGGATATACTTGCGGTAGCAATGGGAGAATCGGAAGGGGCCGATGGTGATATCTATAGGCAAGAGAGGTCAGCAGGTTAAGCGGCAGGATGTAGTTACGACAACAACAAGGGAGGAGAGAGAAGGCTTGCGATAGCAGCAAGGACAGCAGGGAAAACAGGTGGATGGGGGTAGGGAAAATGACAAGAATGATAAAAGAAGAATATACATACCACCTCGAAATGAGTTACAACCAGAGCACCTTCTCACGATCATATACTGTCCTAAAAAGAGAAAAGAGGACGCCAGTGGCTATCCAAACAGAACCTGAAGCAGCAAAAGTAACCTATAAATAGTAGTCCATCAACTGGGCGGCAAACCTAGCCACAAGACTCATGGTCGGCCGCCCCCTTAATCCAACTAGCTGGAGCAGTGCGGTTCAACAAGCACCCAGTTCAGCCCCTCCCTAAACCCATGCTAGGATTGAATACCACATGCTTGAAGAAAAAAAATTAAATAGAGAGTTTAAAACAACACTAATATATATCTTAAAATAATAAATAAAAATCAAAAGAAATAATTAGTCTGAAATAAGTTTTTAAAGAAATAGCCAGGTCCACAACATAACAGTCTACACTCTTGGGTTGGGAAGGGATTCACCGACATATTGTCCAATGAGATGTCGGAATAAAAAACTCTTTCTGCTTTTCAAAATAGAAACTGCCAAGCAATTTCAACAGGAGCAATCAAGAACCTGAAAATCAGTTGCCCCACTAATGGGGCCAAAAAATCATACCATAGTGCAATGCGAATGTGGACTGAAGGTAAATATTAGCTGCACAAAGCAAACCTTACAAACAAAATTTTTGTAACCATATCTCACATGTCATATGATAAGCAAGGTCTTGAATTATATACAAAGCAAAAAAACTTAAGTTTGAATTAACACAGTTCAAGCGCAAATACCATTCCAATTGATAAAAAAAAAATGCAAAGAGCAAGAGGCTAGTGCATTCAAAATTCCAGCCGATAACGAGCTTATCATATCAATGGAGCTTTAAATACTAACAAGAGTCAAGAAATAAGATTAAAATGCAATTTCAATTCCAAATCTTCGTCTTCCGTAATTCAAAAGTACAATGTTTTCATTAAGAAAAAACAAATCAGTAAGTTTACAGTTTAAGAACAAACAATTGTATAGATTTTAACTGCAATAAAATTGTATCTAATATTTCCTACCTCACAGCATTACCTCAAGAACAAAGTACTCTGGAACATCATGAAAGTCATTAGGCCTGAAAAAAATTCAGTAAACAAGAAATTCATATCTACAGATAACAAGAAGACATCAGGAAGCAATATGACCGTTGAAGTAAACGTTCACCTAGGCAATCCAATATCACCATCATATCTTCTATTCTTGTAGAACTTAATTAAATGCACTAAACCAGCCCAATCAGATCCCTGCAGAATGGAGAAATTAAACGGAAAAAAAAATACCATCACAACTATTACATTCTATGTGCTATGAGAAACAAGAAAGGAGGAGAAAAACAATCATAGAGCTGTAAGAAAACAAACGATGACTAATCAAATGAAATCCACAAATATAAAAGAGAGATGGTGATGATGCAATAAAACGTTGTATTAAAATTTGGTTATGTAGGAGACAAATTTAAATAGGATAATCATGCTTTGCATAGAATGATCTTTCAATTTTGAAATGAAAGGGAGCATGAAGAATCATTCATTCCTTAGTATACGACATAATTAACTGCAAAGATAATCATTTTATATTTTTTCTAAAAACATTCGACAAATTTTATATATATTTATAAATGGGCACTTCTTATACTTTCTAGCACATAAGGCATCGGGTGACCAACCCTTGAAGAAGCCTAGGACTTTTGACAACAACGTTGCTGTCAGACTTGTAAAGTTCAACGTTTGAAATTAACACAATTGAGTGTTGAGAAATTTTCTTTCATTGATCAATGCATAAAACTCAATTTACTAGGTATAAACCTCAAAATTGCACCATATAATTAATCAAAAATATAAAAAAAATAAAGATTAACCCACCTTATGACAACAAAAGAAACATCATAAAATTTTCAAGTTAAAAAATTGGTGGATTGGTGGAAAAACCGACGGACATTTGTCTGCCAGTCTTTTAACCGACCAAAATTTTGGTTGAATGTCGTTTTATGTGTTTTCGGCTGACGGGCCTACAAACCGCCGGCCAGTTCTTAACGTTCCTTGCTCTGGCTAGATATCTCGCTAGAAATCTGTCGTAAAACTGAACAGCAAGTTGCCTAATGGTTTAGTGCTTTTCAGCTGAAATACAAGCAGAAATACTGAGGGATAGTCCGATTTTATTAAACTTGGTTACCTGTTTCCATATCAAAAATCAGCCGAAAATTCCTCATTTATTATCTTCTCCCTTTTGCATGCGAGCTCTGATCGGCAAACTCTCTCATGAATTCAATCCAATCCAAGTTTCGACTGATTTACTCTATTTTTTGTCAAATCTAAGATTAATCTTACATTCCATTCTCCACAAGTTTTGTTTTTAGATTTCATCTGTTCAATTTTCTTTTTCTTTTTTTTTATGAGATTTTAAGTTTTAGAAAAAATGTGAAATTTAAGTTTAAATTTTCAATGTTTTTGAAATATAATTTGTTTCGTTAATCTTGCATTACTATTGTAATTAGAGTTTATTTTTTCTAATTTCTCCAATATTTACCTAAGACTCAGCTATTTTACGTTTCAAAAACCCAAAGCTCCACTTTTATGTATTTAGGGTTTAGATTTTTAAATGAGTAGGTGCAATTCAATATGTAAAATTCGAAATGGTGGCATTTATAATGTGATATGAATGGTGGGTACTATTAATGTAAGAAGATATACATACATACCACTCAATTCCTATGTGCTTACATATCCAACACCTAAACTTCAATTTTAACATACATGCCACATTTCCTATGCATGAAAAGGTGCATTTCACTTTTAAGTTAAAAGTGGCTGTATTTTTGATGTAATATGAAAGGATTATATGGTATAGTTAAAAAATTGAATGTTTGGGTGCTAGAAAAGAATTGAGTGGTATTTATATGGGTAAATGCCGGTAAATGTAACTATAAAGTTTAGGCATGTTAGAAATATAAATGCGTAGGAATTGGGTTGTATGTATTAAATGCCCCAAAAATCATTGATTAAAACAAGTTTATGTGTTGGATATGTAAATACATAGGAATTGGGTGGTATGTATGTAAATTCCCCTTATTATTTCGGTTTTGACACTATTATGCAAGTCTATGTATTAGATATGCAAATACGCAGGACTTGGGTGGCATGTATGTAATTACCCAAAAACTTATTACTTTAGATATAAATATGCAATTTAACGTACTATATATACAAATACACAAAATATGGGTTGTATGTAAATGCCCCTTGAATTAGTAATTGCGCCAATTTAGGCATTAGAAATATAAAACAATAAAATTGGGTGCTATGCTTCAATTATTGGTTTAGATTTACATATGCAATTTTAGATGTTATACAACTCATTTCCTAAGTCCCAATTAAAATTGATAATCAAATGAAATCTTGATATTGACTGTACTCAATTACTAACACTCATACATGCATGTCTTATGAGGCTCCATCTAAGAAAAACACGATCCGTCGTATCAGAAATGTCCATGTTACATAATAATAAATTATGTAGTTGTAACACATTGTGCTACACTTAAAGTGTGCATATGGGGCTGCTCATATAATACATTCATATTACACATATTACACATTGCAACTCTCAATTTCGAAAAATTTTGTTTTCAAATCTATAAGATGTCAATGGATATAAGGACTTTAAGATCATGGATATACAATAGATTGCATCCAGACAGAAAAAGAAAAATTGATGAGCTCTTGAACGCAATTGAGTATTCCATGTAAATGACATCGTCGAATCATACTTACCTCTCAAAGAGTAAATTTTGATACCTATGCGCAAAGCACAAGAATCAAACATTTTTAACACCAGACGAAGTAATGTTAGATTTATATTGTCATAGAGTTCAGTTAAATTATTAGTTCTGAAATTCACATGGCAAGTATGAATCATACATTGATTATTAGTTCTGAGAGTTCAGTTCTACCCCTCCAAGTATCATTCCACTAGATTTAAGGAAATAGTATTTGATATAATAAAAGTTCACTTTATTGAGGTGAATGTGGATGAACCACCCAATAGAAAAATTAAGTTCTATAAATTATTTAATACCGCATAACCACCATTGTGGGAAGATTGTACCACTCATTTAGAATTACTAGGTTCTAAAATTTTAATTATCAAATCAAACTACAATATGGCCCGAGAATCTTTTAACTAGATTGTAGGATTACTGAGGAAACAAATCAGTACCAAAAAACCTGAATAGAAGAAATAAATTGATGTCAATGTTTGGGTGGCTAAGATCAGAGAAGATTATGTTGTGTTAATGAAAACATATTATACTATAGGATAGATGTAAAAAAACTCAATCCAAGTCAAGTAGTGCTCAAAGTTTCAAATCCTTGAGCAAGAAGAATAAACAATAAAACAATATTTTATACAAGCATCTATTCAACTTGTCACTCATTATATGTCTTCAAAAACTATTCAATGTTATGGGTACTGTTGAACATTAAATAAAGTGAATTCAGTTTGAACTTACCTAATTTGCATGCCAATGTTTTCGCATTATACAGTCAAGCTACCTCATCATAATCATCCTAATCGATGATAGCTAAAGCGTATGACTTATACCATTAGATGTGTGACTACAGTGCTCATAGTAATCATATCAAGTCCATGGTAGAAAAAAAAAAATTAATGTATATTTTCAGCCTTTGAAAGAAAAAATTTAAATCTTATGAAAAATGTGTGGCCACTTACAATATCGTTGCAAAGTGCGAGTTTGAAATGACAGTTGTCCTAATGTGGACAATCAAAAAATTTTCTACGTATAGAAGGCTATCCAGACATGTACTCTAAAACTGATAAAAAATTTATGATTTGACTATCATTGAATGTTCTAATCTATTAACCATTTATTTAGAGTAGAGAGAATAAAGATGCAATCATCAAAATTAGAATTAAAAAATATTATTGATTCTCTAAAGCAATATTCATATTTTCTACTTGATTTTGATTTTAATTATAAGTGATAAAGCAAAATATTTTATGAGATCTGCCTTACTGAAGAATTAATTTGATAAAATGTAATTTTGATATCCTGCACATTGAAAAAAATATTTTTGATAATATCTTCAACACAAAAATATATCAAAGGCAAAATTAATGAAAATATGAAAGCGAGATTAGACTTGAAAGTGTTGTAAGAGAAGAGAGTTAGAACTTTAAGCGAAAAATGTTCGTAAACTTATTAAACCTAAGGCCAAGTATTTTTTAGTATAGATAGGGAAGAATAATCTGTGAATAGTTGCAATCTGAAGTTCTCTAACGAGCATGCATCTAGTTTTACATTGTATTGAAATAGAATCAGAAAACAAATTTAACATGAAAAACAATCATTATCATATTATCTAGTAATTATCAAATCAAATAATCCTTTAATCAAAATCACTATATTTTTCAAAGATTTATTTGAACCTCATTTGAAGATGGATGCAATAAGACAACTTAAATTGACCTTTCTAGTGATACTGTGCAAACTTGAACGAATATTTTTTTTTTCTAAATTTTGACTCAATAGAACATCTGTCCATACACCTACCTTAAAAGATTATAATAAGGGGCTAATACAGTGTTGATGGATGTATCAATTTGAGGGATACATGTTTACAATCATTTAATTATATAATTTCCAGAGGGTCATTACCATATTGTACTAAATTAATTCTATTGCAAATTTTTAAATAAACCAAAAAAGTGATGAAGAATAAAGCACCACTTAAGGACTCAATATGTGATGAACACTTGCTGCAAGAGAAAGCTACATTCTGTTCATATTACTTGAAAAAGACTAGTAGACGAAGCCATAGGAATGGTGCCTTTATTCTTGTGATTAATGTATTTCGGCAATTAGGTGAAGCATCAAAGAGAAGAAATTCACGTTAATTCAATGCAAATAGTTTCGAGCAACGATAGTCTTTGTAATGAACTCTAATCATTTTTTGACTAATACGCATAATAATTAATAAATGTTCAAGTAGTACACACAGTGTTATATACACTTGCTAATAAAATTTTATTTATACTACCACATTATTTGTGAGATCATTAAATCTTGAAAAAAAGGGTATTATCAGTAAGAAGGTTGAAGTGTTCCCATATGGTTCAAATTGCATATAAGTTATATTAACTCTGCATATATTACTATTAAATAAGTTGAATGGAATAAATAAACGTAATTATTCATGTTTTAATAGGTTCATAATAAAAAAAATAG